TGTGCAACTACTTAGGAGTTCAGGCTTTCACATTCCCTCCTTGCTCCACTAACACCATCCAGTGTGGGATGTTTAATGTCCTGCAGTGACTGGAATCATTAACTTCCCCCCAGGGTTAATTTTTCTCAGCACTTCATGGAAACCATTGCAGGTGTTTACTTCTGTGGCAGATTCCCTCTGAAAACAGCACTCCGTATCTGTTGAGTATTATCCCCTCTTATGGATAATGTTAAGGACTAGAGCTCAACCCATTCTTAATTCTAGGGATCATCCAGATTTCTGCAACCAAATCCCATGCCCTGCAGATCTAGTGTAAAATACGAGTAATTGAAATGTAAAGTGCTAAAACATCAGGATGTATAATTCATTTTCAGTGACTTTTGTGCGTTGTTTTGATGCAATATGATGGTTCATAAAAATACACAAGGGGCACATCTTCAAGGTGCAAGATATTGTCATTGTGTTTTCCTGCCTGGTCGTGATTAATAGTAGGCCATAGTCCTTTGTTAAATGCTGATGGAACCAGAATGACAGTTCAGCAATACAAGCGGTATTAAGAATTACAGCAGGGGTTTCAATTCAGGACATACGAGTTAAACCTTCTTTTACTTTCATTTGTCTACTTGATAAAAAAAACATCATGGTACCCACAAGGATGCTGTAAGAATTTTGTTCAAAGTATCATTAAGCATTGCTTTAAAATAGCAGACTTCCTGGAAGAGTTTTTATCCTGGTATTCTAACCTGATTTCTTACTTTCTTTCAAAACTCCCTCTGTAATTTCTAATGCATGCAGCAACATTTATATTCTGAATTTATGTGTTATGAACTGTTAAGCAGATGCTGCTTCACTTCACTGCCAAAATTTGTATCAGTAGTAAAGCTGCCTATATATTCTCACCTCATTCAACCCTATTTCAATGTAGCAGTCCTTACTGAATATTACAGCTCATGATTTCTTATTTAAATACTGTGATACCAGAGGGTCATAGAACACAGTCATCTGCTGTGAGAGGACTCCAGCCTATCCATCCCTGTTTATCTATCTCCATTATTACTACTTCACTTTTTGTTCCAGTACTTCATATCTCTAACAGCTTGAAACCTTCTTCTAATGTCTTGAATATATCTTAAATAGTTGATACCCATTTCTTGTTATATTCTTTGTCCTGTGATTCCCCTATCTCCCTCCTGCTGATCTATTAGCAGAAAGCAGTAGTATCTCCCCATTCCACCTGCACACAGCAAGATTAACCAAACCCAGTTCTTTAATCTCCTGTTTGAAAATAGTCTCTCTGGCTCCTGAACACAGTAATAGCTCCTCTAGGCTGAATCCATCTTTCCTGTGCTAAGGAGGTCTGAGCACAGTTCTCCAAATAAGCTGTAACCAAAGCCCTGTCCACATTCATGAACTCTACCCTATCTCTACAAGACCTACTTTGCCTTGTGCAATAATGACCTTTGCCTTTTCCCCCAGATGTACAGTTTAATTTACAATCATCTGCTGAGACACCATCAGTTTTGAGACTATGAGTTTATAAAACAAAGTCTTGTTGCTGATCCATAGGTACCATAACAGACCTTTAAAACTAATAGTCCTAAATCAGCTGGAAAACCCTCCTGGGTTTTTGAGGCCAACCAGTTCCTCCTTCAAGGATATTCTGATTCTAATCTACACAGTAAACTCACAGAGAAGATTAGACCCTGAGGAAGTCCACCCCTGTCTGCTCTCTGACTTGTTATTCCCTTTCATTATCATCTTCCTGCTGGCCAGTTCCTGGCTCGGTTTACTGTGTTTATTAATCTCTACCCTTTTTCACTTTAGCAGTGACTTTCAATGCGGTAATCCAACAAATGCTTGCCGAAGTCCAGTTAGACAAGATTTACTTAGTTCTGTTTGTCTAAAGAAAAAAATCACCTGTCTTTTGAAAGAAAAATATTGGTTCAGTCTGTTGGCTCTCCTCCAGCTCATAATGTATTTTCTGATGCAGTTATTAATTTGGTTATGCATGGAGCCATCCTCCCTACCCTCACCCTGCTGGCACTGGTGATGCTCTGTGTGAAACAATTGGCTGTGCCATCTGCTGGTGCATTTCACCCAACAAAAATATAAGAAAAATAATTTCCATAATGACTTTTATCCCTCTTACCTTCAATTGTGATGTCTTGTCCTTCTCTGCGATAGGGAATCATAGAATCACAGACTGGTTTGGGTTGGAAAAGACCTGAAAGCTCATCCAGCTCCAACTCCTGCCAAGAGCAGGGACACCTTCCACTAGAGCAGCTTGCTCCAAGCCCCATCCAACCTGGCTTTGAACACTGATGGGGATGAGGCAGCCACAGCTTCTCCGGGCACCTATTCCAGTGTCTCAACACCCTCATAGTGAAGGTTTTCTTCCTAAAGGGGTATTTAAGCTGAGAATCATTTTCATACAGTCTTCCCTGTCCCCACAATGAGTTTTACATCAGCTTCCACTTGATGGGGCTGCACTTTGCAGCCATCTAGACACAAGCTTGTGCAAGATGTAGCTATGAAGTTCTGAGTTAGGAGCCTTCTGGGCAAGCATCAGCTTTGGTCGTCATGAAGTTTCCAAGTGGAGCACAAGACACAGGCGTTAACTTCAAATTCTTGAGCATGTGAGGCTGCTCCTCAAAACTGAAGTGCAGTCCTCTTTGGGGCAGAATACAAAAGCCTTTCATCAACAGCTAACAGCACAACACATCCATTTGGAAGATGAAACACAGCACACTGAGCCAACAGAATTTTTCCAGTGACTTTAGCTGGGAAAAGGCAGTGATTTTCTGTTGTAATTGGAGCCAGGGGCTGAGAGTCTTTAGAAAATGCTATAAAGTATGTAAGGAGTAAATGAGGAGTGAAACAGCATTTTGGTCTTATACTGATCAATCTCCAGCGGTACAATGACCCTAAGCAGACCCAGAATATCAATTCAGTTTTCTCTAGGGAAGAGGCTTACATCTTCTAAGTCACCAAGAAGAGGAAGCGAAAAAAATTGTTGTTGTTTCACCATGTAGGAGTAATAAGAAGCTTCTACAAATCCTCTTGCATTGGTGGAGAGGGACCAGAGTTTCACTTTAATCAAATAGTGTAACAATCCTGTTATTAAGACACTGCATGGCACCGTGTATGCTTGTATTTTACAGTGAACAGAGGTCTCCTAGGTCAAATAAATGACATCCCTATGCTATCAGTCTAACCAGGGGAACAGACTTGTTGCAATACAGAAAACTCTGTTTAGATATTAGGGAAAAAAACTATTCAGTGGAATAGTGGTGAAACTGGAACAGTTGCCCAAAGGACCTGTGGAATGTCTATCTTTGGAGATACTCAAAAGTCACCTGTATGAGGTCCGGAACAACCTGTTCTAACTTCAAAGCTGACCTAATTTCCAAGTAAGCCCTGCTCTGAGTGGGAGGTTGGACCAGAGGATTTCCATAGGACCCTTCCAATCCAAACTAGTTTACAGGTCTAAGAGAGCAAAGTCAAATCTTTTCTTTTAAGTCAAAAAACAGTTAAAACTATCTTTTAAGTCAAAATGCTGAATATTGACTTGCTTGCTAAGAGGTAAGTGGGATTTGAAGGTTAAAGAAAAAATAAGTCAAATACTTTACAGAAGAGCATAAATATATGCATATAGATATATAATTATACATGCATATGTGTATCTAAGCCTCACTCTACTCAGAAGTTTTGTGCCAGACCTGAAGTGGGAGTCTTCAACAGAAGATAGATTTTTGAAGCCAGATAAAAGCACAGAGTCTATTCATTAGCACTTGAATTAAAATTCAGATAAACATGAACTAGCCATAGCAGCCAGTTACAATTCCATCCTTCTGGAAAGGCGCACATTGAAGATGATCATATTCTATGGAAGAGAGACTTCTATGTGAGGAGGGACAAAATCCATTCTGATGGATTCAGATCCAGTTTCCACTGCAAATAAGTTCATTCAGAATCAGTAGGGCTATTTGCTGAACAGCTTTACTGTGTTTGCACAGCCCAGTGACCACTCGACTGTCAGAGCAGGTTAATGCAAGACCTAGGAATAGACAGCAGTTGAAAATGGGTGTTTTGGGATTATGAGTTTGGGTTTAATAACCAGAAAATATGTTACCACCTAGCATTCTCACAGGCTTAGATGTAATCAAACTGCAGCCAAAATAAGCTGCCTACAGACTGCACAGTTGGAACTGATATTTTGTGCAGGCAGTGAAAAATCCCCCACTGAAAAACTCTGAGTGAGTGGCAGAGCTGTCAAACCTTGACCATTTCTACTCATAATCAAGTTGCAGAAGGGCCTCTGGCTTCCTACTGCAGTGGCTTATGTTCTTGGGTCAGCCATGGATATTCCCAGTACATCCTTGATGGGCAGGTTTTCTATGCCAACAGCTCAGAGAGTCTTGGGGGGCTAGAAAAGAGGCACAGCCATGTATATATCTGACAGATTAAGTCCTTCAGCTGGCTGGCAAGATATATCAGAACTCACAGAAAAGCAGAGGTATCATCAGACTGGTTTTCCTCTTGATCTTTCACCAGCATGTCAGAAATTTTGGTTCTTCTTGTGACTTTTTCCATTTTCCATTTTTTTTCCCTTCTATACACATATATAAGGATTTCTTCAGTGGTAATTACCATTGTGCTTGGATGTCCCACAACAATCAAAGTTCTAACTCATGGACATTAAAGTGCACCAAATGCGGAATGGTAAAAAAAGAAAGTAATTTCCAAAACTTATTGCATTTCTTTATCTATTACACTAAGCTCAAGCATTGTTTTAATTTAATTTAAGAAAGCTCATGATTATTTTGCTGTCGACTGTCAAGAGGTAACTCTTTTCCAGCCCTGCAGTTTCTAATATACTTTCCCACCACTGAATACATGTTGGAATAAGAAAATGTCAACTAGGAAAGGTGAAATGAATCAGAGCATCACTCTAGAAATGCACAGTTATGTTATTTCAAGTAGGAAGTGAGTCTTTTTACCTGGAATCTCATCAGTCCCCCCACTGGTGTGTTTGAATCTGTCTCCTTCCACATGGACATTTGGACAAAGGACATCTGAAAAGCAAAAGAACCAGTACAAAATTATCACAAGTAAACATAATTTTGGAAGCTAGAGAACTAACAAAGGCTAATCTCCTGGGCTTTGTCCAATACTTGCACATGGTCCCAGAGCAGTAATTCTGTTCCCAGTCTCTGCATGACCTAAATGCCTTTCCTTTATCCTAGCCCCTCACCACATGCTGGGCAAGAGACACAATACACTATGTCTGGTTTTAAGGCACTTTTGGTGACTGACCAGCCAAGAAACCAAACAGAATAGATTAATCTAGCCCACCTTCCTGTATCTTACTCTCTTATGTGTGATTCACCTGTTAACGTTCCTTCAGGGTCGTGACTATTTATGTGTCTGCAACTTGAGTTTGTTCAAGCAGAAAGTAGAGATGACTAAAACTTTTTATATTCACCCCTACACACAGGTTTCAAAAGAGTAATGAAAAGACCCAGCCTTTGTCAGCCATTTCTTATGCTCCCAATTAGTGTCAACACAATTGCAGGTAAACGCTTTTCTGCAGAGAACTGTCTACCCATCCACCTCCTTCTTGCCATATATTTATAGTAACATATATTTACGCTTTGTTTTCCCAGATCAATGGGCAATTGCATACTTGAAAACAATGGAGGCAGGTAGCCCAAGGAATCAGTGTAATGAGAATATAAAGCTGAACCCTTGACTTTACACCACCTGCACAGTCCCACATTTATGTCCTTTCTCTAAGTTAAAGAACAACCAGATGGGGACAGCCAAGTCCCACTCCTTCATTTGCCCAGTTGGAGACATGCTAATATACATAATTCTCTGCAGTTGCGGTACTCAACTTGATGCATAATGTACCTAGCATCATCTCCAGCTGGTGTTTAGCACATTATTCCATCAGTATCATTAATTGTTGTGCTTGTAAAGGAGCACAAAGGACCAAATGCTCCCTAAGGGATGGGGAGCCAGGAATTGAAAGCAATGCCCTCACCAGTGGGGCACAATCTCACAGGGGTCTCTGAAGAATTGCTACAGAAGGTCTAACTTGTTTGTGAAGCTACATCCACAATCATGAGGCAAAAAATGAGTTTTCTGAGGACATTACCAGTAGGACTTTCATCTCTTCTGCTCATGGCTCTCAGTAAAAAACAATCCAATATTCCATAGTGTTTGCTTAAGCCTAGCAATTAAACTAGGTATTTTTCCTGCTTTATTGTGCTAATAAATATACAGTCTAGCTTATCAACTGCAGGTGAAGCACTCAGTTCAGTGGAAGAAACAGGGACTTTAGTAGACAGAAGTTGGCCAGAAGCCCCAAGAGCCAATGCAGCAATCGGAAGCAAATGCATTCAACCACTCCTTTGCTGCAGCAGTGAGTGAGGCCAGAGACTGGTTACTCATGCAAGTAATTGTTTTCCAGGGCATTTCAGATGTTCTTTGGACATCTTTAGGGATGCTGCTTCCATAGATAAAATTCAGAATAGTCACTTTTTTCTTCTATTCACCACACCAAGAGCCAACACTGACTGATACATCACTCAAACATGCTTATATCCTAGCATCCGACATGAAAACATGTGGTACTTTCACCCCCATCAGAGGTCTGCACAACTTCCCAATGCAACACCTATGCTCTTACTTGCAGGGTGAACTTTAAAAGCTGAAAAACTTTTAAGCCATTAAGGTTTGCAAAAGCCAAATTTAGGCCCCTTCTATTCCCATTCCAAACTAAGCTGTATTGACAAAATATTTGCTTAGAAGTGTCAGAAGCCCTGTGCAGATGTTACACTGATCCTTTAAATGTTGGCTTTGCTAGCAGTGAATGCTGTTTTGGTTACAGGCACCGAGTCAGTGCAGTAAACAGCACTTCTGAGCCCCAGTCTTGGAACTAGAAGGTATGTGGCTAAATAAGTAAAGTAAGTACAGTATGACAAAATAAGGAATATCAGAAATCAAAACAAGCCAAATTTCCCAGTAAAGAATAAACAAATGGAAGGTATGAATAAAATCACAAAAATATATCATTCACCTCTGCTTCCAGGACTCCTGAAAGATACACAGGGAAGAATAAAACACCTCAGACGCAGCAGTGTACATCTTCGTGCAACAAGGATGCAATGTGTGATGTATAGGTATATAAATTATCACTCCAATCTCTAATGACATCAGACAATCTCCACCAGGTCCAATTAGAATGAACCATGGCTTTCTAGCAGGGAAGTACGAGCTACCGAAATCCTCCTGGTTTTAGCTCTTGTTTTGGAACTTGGACCATAAAACAAACTTATGTGCTTGGCCTTTGTTCAGACCTCTCTTGCCACAAGAAACAGAAATTCCAACCTTAATATTATTCACTTCTTCCAGCTCTGTCCTTTAAATCTCTTTATTACCTCTTAAAGAACTGTGGCCTGACTTTGGCCTTCATTTGTAAAATGCCCTGTGCTCCTTTTGGCTTCTCCCTTCCAGACTGCATCTAAGGCACAAGCATAAATTGTCCACAAGGGAAAGAAAATCATTGCAATGTTCACTTCCAGTTACAGAATAACTCACAGGGGCACAAAAGAGGTTAGTGCTTTCCCATCTAAGTTAGCAGCACCTATAATTATGTCCAAAGGAGCAGCGGTGCCAGACTGAGAGCACAACAATCAATCCCAACCAGCGAATAGGTCTCATTGATACACCCAAGAGTGCATTGATATTGAAGGCAATACTAAAGCTGTTCTTCTCCTATGAAGCCTTTCTATGAGAACCCTCATATAGGTGAACATTTTATCATCAAAGAGTGTTTATGCCTATTCTTTCTGCTGCTACCAGGACAAACTTTGTGTGAAAACTAGCAGTGCTTGGAGGACTTGCAACAACGAGCACCGACTGCTAATGGCAGAAAGTGTATTAAAATCTGCACTGCAGCTACATCTCCTCTAATTTGTAAACACAGGTTTGCAACAGAGAAGATACAACTGGCTGACCTGAGCTTTCAGGCACTGGTCCTTGCTACATCCTCTCCCATCCAATTCTATACAAGCTTGCAGTTCCTTTAAATATATTATTGTTTAAAACTACTTCCTTGTCATCAACTTTAGGCAGTTTTTGCTTCATCCACAAATTTCATCAGCAAAGATTTTGCATTTATGTCCATGCGGTTCATGGAAATTTTTAATAACACCAGAACTGCTATAAATCCCTTTTACAGTTGCACTAGAAATGATGACTTTCCATTGACACTTGCTACGTGAGATCAGTCAGCTCTTAATCCATTGTACATTGTCACTTTTTAATGCAAATGTTATTGAATATGCAATAACAATGCATAAGAACAAAAGTATTATACCCAGGTAGTTACCATATCAACCGAACTGTAACTCTCCACAGAAAGAAATCAGCTTTGTTAGAGATGACCTCTTTCTCCTAAAATTATAATCCTTAAATAAGGATACATAATAATTCTCATTCTGTAATGCTGCATTCACTGGTTTTGCCATCAGTTATTATTTTGCTGTGAGTGAGATCAGGCAAGCTGGTCTATAGCTATACATATGAATCATTTTCCCTTTTTTTAGAGTGTTACATTATCATCATTTCAAAGTCCCATAATTAGTCTTGTACTAGCCAAGTTATATCTATACAAGTTTTCAGCTGACACCAAGCTAAGTTGTGTAGCTGACACCCCTGACTGACAGGATGGCATCCAGAGGGACCTGATCAAGCTTGAGAAGTGGGCCCATGTGAACCCCATGAGGTTCAGCAAGGCAAAGCTCCATTTCAGTGGGAACGCACAAAGAACTGATGCAATGCATTGGGTACTGAGAAAGTCTAACCTAATCTGAGCTATTTACAGCCCCCACAGCTCTCTTGAATGCCAGGTTTAGGATGGAAGGCACCACTCTCTCTCTGCATTGAATATTGACAGAACTCGACTATCTCTTTTGAAACAGATGCTTCACTTTAAACCTGGTAAAGTTGAGTAAGGCAATTCCCATCATAGATACACCTAAGCATCTGAAGGACGTGGGCCTTCCTGTCCTTCATAAAACCATGAAATCCTCTTCTGAATCCTGCCCAGCACTGAACAAGCTGACTTGGTTTGTACGAGCTTCTTGCTCAAGGAAGCACAATGTAGTTTTCTGAAACTGATGTAACTGCAGATAACAGCCTTTTCTGTAAGCAAAGCGTACTGAGGTCTGTTTGATAAGAACAAGCCATTTAAGCCTCACTTTTACGTATCATCCTTCAGAATATTCCCTATGAAAAAATCCCTAAGCTGTCAAATACTTTAGAATTAAAAGAGACAATACATTTTACAGAGTATATGCACTGAAAGAGACATGTCAGAGGAGCATGTCATCTCAGGAATTCTCGCTAGTGTTAAATTAACATTAATTGTAGTGAAACTGTACTAACAGGGCTGCAAGTTTGGAAAAGAACAATGTGAATGATCTGAGAGTTTAATTCTATTTGCCTCCAAGCCATTCCACGAGCAAGGCAAAGGAAAGGGATAATAAAAATGGAAAAAGAAAATGAGAAAAGAGCAGAGAGAAATAGGTGTGGAGGAAGGGAAGGGAAAGGGGAAGGAGAAGGGGACGGGAAGGGGAAGGAGAAGCAAAAGGAAAAGGGGAAGAAAAAAGAAAATGAAAAAGGAAAAAAAAAAAGGGAAAGGGAAAGGGAAAGGAAAAGGGAAAGGAAAAGGGAAAGGGAAAGGGAAAGGGAAAGGGAAAGGGAAAGGGAAAGGGAAAGGGAAAGGAAGCTCAAACTGACTGACCATTGAGTGCCCCCTCTCCCCACAGGTTTATGAAGCTTCATTTCTATTTGTACTATAGGAAGAGCATAACTATTTGCAAGACCTGCCTTCTGCATGAGCCCAAGCTGAGCAGCTGTTTCCCAAAACACAGTTTTGAAAGCATCTCCCTCACTTGGAAAGCTTGGTTAAAGTCACAGCGTTATGTCCATTATAGAAACCCCTGGGCAGGAGCAGTGTGATCCTGCTGTCCCTTAGGGCTTCCTACTGAGAAACCTTCCCAGT